GCGTCAGGCTCTGGGCTGATGGCCCAGAGCCTGGAGCCTGTTTCCGATTCTGTGTCTCCCTCTCTCTCTGACCCTCCCCCGTTCATGCTCTGTCTCTCTCTGTCCCAAAAATAAATAAACGTTGAAAAAAAAAATTAAAAAAAAAATAAGTATTAAAAAATAAAATCCCTAGTTCAGCACAAGGCAGTTATATATTATTAATTTATCAGAGTCTAGACTCTCATTGCCAGCCATACTTCTTTTCTTCTGTCTTCTTCCCCTTCCACTGCTCCTCATGCAGCTAGCAGACCTTTGCATCCTCAGCTACAGTTGGTCTTCTCACCTGTGTACTCTGGCCTCACAGGTAAGAACAGGTTTTCAGATGGTGCTCTTGGGTAACATTCAGGTTCTGAGTTAGTCTACAGCTAAAACATTCAAGGCTGAGTTAGTCTACCTAAAATCAGGTTAGCTGATTATTTTATTTTTGTCTTATAAATTAAGAACTTTTGGTACCTAGTGCACCTGGATTCCAGGGATATGGAGAAGATCATGAAACGTATGAACCACGTTACAAATTAGTATTCTGAACAAATCTTGGAATTCATTGATCATGCTTAGTTTGATGGCTTATGTTTTGTGGACTCATGATAACTTTTTATATCGTGCATATATAGGAGTCCTTTTCTGCAAGAAAAGTTGTTTTGTAAGAGGATATTACATATATCATTATTCATAATTTTGTAAAAGGAACATAGCTTTCTGTAAAGGGGTTGCACCCCTGGATAATTTCTAGAATAGCTGCCCCAAGAAACCCTCACTGTATGTGGTACAGAAATCTTAACAGGACCCATACCACCCTCTTAGTGGTCTGCTACTGACTGCTGTGGGCAAGACTGGGAGACAAATCAAATTAAGGATGAGAGAGTCTTTCAGTGGCCCTGTGGGTAGTTCCTCACATCCTTGCATTGAGATGAAAGTGGATGCTTGTGATGGTTGCTCAGCTGACCTTTGCTCTCCATTACCCTTGGCTGTTTTCCTCCTTTCATTGCAGATGATCTGTGTTCAGGCAGGTATGCCCCTCCACCCCCATCTCTATCTGAAAGACTGAACAGAGGGGCATGTTAGCAGTGAAAATATTCATACTAGATTGCAGACATGTATATCACCTATTTTAGTTTTTCTCTTTCCAAACATTTTACTTTAAATGTTCTGGTCTTATAAGCTATATTTTTTAAAATATGATTTGTTTGGTTTTTACTTATAAATTTTTAAGAATTTTAAAAATCTTTCCACCTGTTTCAAAATAATACCAGCATTGTTATCAAGAGTATAATTGGAAAAAAAAAAACACTTTAAGATTTTTTGTAGTTCTTTTGTTCTTAAGATAAAAGGACAGTCAAAATACCAAGCTTAAATCCACTTGAAAGAATTTCTCCAGGTGGTTAAGCTACCCAACTCAAAATATTTAGGTTTGTTTGTTTCATTATGGTTTTAAATTTTACATGCTAGATTTTCAATTTTGACTTAATTTTGTCTCATAAATGTATAAGGCATTCACATGGTTCCAAAGTCAAAGCTACAGAAAAAGGAATTTCTAGAGGACCACAGCTTCCATTCATGTTTGCTCTACACTGTTCTCTCCTTCCCTGACTGGAAACCCTCTTTATTGTTTTTCGTTTGGTCGTGTAAGTAAATATATACTTTTATCTTTTTTTTTTTTTTTTTTTTTTTTTTTTAGCATTTATGTATTTTTTGAGAAACAGAGTATGAGCGGTAGAAGGGCAGAAAGAGAGGGAGTCACAGCTTCGGAAGCAAGCTCCAGGCTCTGAGCATCAGCACAGAGCCCGATGCGGGGCTCGAACTCTTGAAACGCAAGATCATGACCTGAGCCAAAGTCGGATGCTTAACCAACTGAGCCATCCAGACACCCCGTATACCTTTATCTTTTTTTTTTTTTTTAATTTTTTTTTCAGTGTTTATTTATTTTTGGGACAGAGAGAGACAGAGCATAAACGGGGGAGGGGCAGAGAGAGAGGGAGACACAGAATCGGAAACAGGCTCCAGGCTCTGAGCCATCAGCCCAGAGCCTGACGCGGGGCTCGAACTCCCGGACCGCGAGATCGTGACCTGGCTGAAGTCGGACGCTTAACTGACTGCGCCACCCAGGCGCCCCTACCTTTATATTTTAAGATAAAAAGTACACCTCCCTTTTTTCAGTTAGTGAGATATTTTGAAGATAGAGTTTTGGCTTTATATAAAGGTAGCACTCATTTCTTTTTTCAGTCTGTTTTTACAGCTGATGAAGGAGTAAATCCATATATAAATCTGCTGGACATTCCAGATCACCCCCTAGGGACTGCACAATTTGCATTCCCACAGCCATGTATGAGAGTACCTATTTCACTCTCAGCAACCAAACTCCTTAAACTTTGGAATTTTCGCGAATAATTCAAAAAGTAAGAAGTGAAATCTCAATGTAGTTTCAAAAATAAACTTTTAACTTTCAAATAGTTTTAGATTTGCAGGAAAATTGAAAAGATAGTAGAGTTCCTATATACTCCATACCTGTTTCCTTATCTTTAACATCTTACATCAATATGCTACATTGTCATAATTAATGAACAAATATTGATTGTTAACTAAAGCCCATACTTAATTCTGATATTCTTAGTTTTTACCTAATCTCCCTTTTCCTGTTCCAGGATCCTATGTAGGGTACCACATTACATTTAGTCATCATGTCATCTTAGGCTCCTCTTAACTGTAACAGTTTCTCAGTCTTTCCTTATTTTTGGTGCCCTTGATAGTTTTGAGGAGCACCAGTCAGGTCTTTTGTAGAATGTCCCTCATTGATAGGTGTCTGATGTCTTCTTGTGATTAAACTGGAGTTCTGGGTTTTGGGCGGAAGACAACAGAGGTAATGCCATTCTCATCATATCCTATCAAAGGCACATGCCACGAACATGACTTAGCATGGTTGTCGTTGAACCAGGCTGAGGTAAGCCATTTGTCAGGTTTCTCCACTGTTACTCTTTTTCCCCTTTTTCATACTGTTCTATTTGGAAGTCACTGTGCACAATTCACACATAAGAATTGGGGAGTTGGGGTGCCTGGGTGGCTCAGTAAGTAAGCATCTGACTTCAGCTCAAATCATGATCTCATGGTTCGAGGGTTCAAGCCCTACATCAGGCTCTGCACTGATAGTCTGACCCTGCTTTGGATTCTCTGTATCTCTCTCTGTCTGCCCCTCCCCCCGTCTTCCTCCCACCAAAAATAAATAAACATTAAAAAAAAGAATGGCGGAGTTATGCTCCACCTTTTTAGAGCACAGTATTTACATAAATTATTTGGAATTCTTCCTTATGGGAGATTTGTCTCCTTTTCCCCATTTATTTATTTACTTAAGCAGTCATATTAGTAAGCACTCATGGGTATTTTTTTTTTATGTTGAGCTATAATCCAGTACCACTTAATTTTATTGTTTAAATTGTTTCAGCTTTTGCCTTTGAGAGCTCTTCCAGTTGATTGCTGTATCCCTTGACATACTCCCCTGTAGTTGGGGGTGGAGTTTGTTTTATTTTGTTTTTGGTAGTAACTCACTTTCTGGTAACTACAAGAGGCTCCAGGCTCATCTTGTGTATTTCCTGCTTCAGTCCTAGAATCAGCCATTTCTCCAAGTAGCCCTGGATCCTTTTATTGGGAAATGTACTAGAAACCAAGATCAGGGCGCTATGCGTGCTTTGCTACCAGGGTGTCATCACTCTCAGCTAAAAGAGCAAGGAAATATATATACATATAGTGACCCCAGTGTATACAGATATCTAACATTTCTATGTGTAACCGCCTGTATTTATATTGTTATCAACTGGAATACAGAGCTTATGTACGGTTTCTGTTGCCTTCAATCTCAGAGACAACATTTCCAAAGTAACTTTCTTTGCTTCCATCCCCCTCCTTCAGGGAGGTTTTTTTGTTTCTACACCAGCCCCCTTCAAGGAGGTTGTTTCATACATTTGTAATATAGTTAGAGTCCCTTCTGCTGGTCTGCGTTATTTCCTGGGCTTACTTGACCTCTTAAATGACTTTTTAAAGTTGTCATACTTCAGGGTTCACTGTGCTATAGAGTTGTTCTGATTTTGACAAATGCCTTGTATCATGTATCTACCTTTACATAATAGCTTCACTGCCTTAAAGAGCCCCCCATGCTTCATTTATTCAACCCTCTGGCAACCACTGATCTGTTTACTATCTCTATAGATTTGCCTTTTCCAGAATGGCATAAGTGGATTTCATAAATGGATTTATACAGTAATGAGCACCCCTAGCCCAGTGCCTTTTCCATATATTTATTGTCTATATATTGTGTAGCTATTACTAAAGTCTTTATTCTGTCCAATTAAAACCTCTGTCTGTCCTTGTGCTATACCATAGTATCATACATAATGTAGCTTTAGAAATCTTGATTATCTGGTAGAGCAAACTCTCCCACTTTGTCCTTCTTCAAGAGTGTTTTAGATATTCTTGAGCCTTTGTGTTTTCATTAAAATTTTGGTATCCTCTTGTCAAGTTCCACAAAAACATTTTTTTTTTTGGAATTTTGATTGAGGGTACATTGAATCTATAGATAAATTTGGGGAGACTTGATATATTTATAATAATGAGTCTTCCAATCCATGTACAGGGTGCACATCTCTATTTATTTAGATTTCCTCTAATACTTCTCAGTGAAGTTTTAGAATTTCCTTTTTTTTTTATCTATTTATTTATTTTTAAATTTACCTCCAAGTTAGTTAGAATAGTGCAACAATGATTTCAGAGGTAGAATCCTTGATGCCCCTTACCCATTTAGCCCATCCTCCCACAACCCCTCTAGTAATCCTCTGTTTGTTCTCTGTATTTAAGTCTCTTATGTTTTGTCCCCCTCCCTGTTTTTATATTTCTGCTTCCCTTCCCTATGTTCAACTGTTTTGTCTCTTAAAGTCCTCATGATTGAAGTCCTATATTTCTCTTTCTCTGACTTACTAATTTCACGTAGTATAATACCCTCTAGTTCCATCCATGTAGTTGCAAATGACAAGATTTCATTCTTTTTGATTGCTGAGTAATACTCATTGTGTATATGTGTAAATATATATATATGTATATACATATATATGTATATATATATGTATATATATATGTGTGTGTGTATATATATATATATATATGTATATATATATCCATCTTCTTTATCCATTCATCCATTGGTGGACATTTGGGCTCTTTCCATACTTTGGCTATTGTTGATAGTGCTGCTATAAACATGGGGATGCATGTGCCCCTCCACAACAGCATACCAGTATCCCTTGGATAAATACCTAGTAGGGCAATTGCTAGGTCATAGGGTAGTTCTATTTTTAATTTTTTGAGGAACCTCCATACTGTTTTCCAGAGTGGCTGCACCAGCTTGCATTCCCACCAACAATGCAAAAGAGATCCTCTTTTCCACATCCTCGCCAACATCTGTTGTTGCCTGGGTTGTTAATGTTAGCCATTCTGACAGGTGTGAGGTGGTATCTCATTGTGGTTTTGATTTGTATTTCCCTGATGATGAATGATGTTGAACATTTATTATGGGTCAGTTGGCCATCTGGATGTCTTCTTTGGAGAAGTGTCTATTCATGTCTTTTGCCCATTTCTTCATTGGATTATTTGTTTTTTGGGTGTTGAATTTGTAAGTTCTTTATAGATTTTGGATACTAACCCTTTATCTGACATGCCATTTGCAAATATCATTTCCCATTCTGTCGGTTGACTTTTAGTTTTGCTGATTGTTTCCTTCACTGTGCAGCAGCTTTATATTTTGATGAGGTCCCAATAGTTCATTTTTGCTTTTGTTTCCCTTGCCTCTGGAAACATGTTGAATAAGAAGTTGCTGTGGCCAAGGTCAAAGAGGTTTTTGCCTGCTTTCTCCTTGAGGATTTTAATGGCTTCCTGTCTTACATTTAGGTCTTTCATCCATTTTGAGTTTATTTTTGTGTGTGGTGTAAGAAAGTGGTCCAGGTTCCTTCTTCTGCATGTCGCTGTCCAGTTTTCCCAGCACCACTTGCTGAATAGACTGTCTTTATTCCATTGGATATTCTTTCCTGCTTTGTCAAAGATTAGCTTGCCATACGTTTGTGGGTCCATTTCTGGGTTCTCTATTCTGTTCCATTGATCTCAGTGTTATTGTGCCAAAGTTTTAAAGTTTTCTATTTAAGTTTTGTATATATTTTGTTAGATTTACTCATAGGAAGTTGTAACTTTTTATTATGAAAAGTTTGAAACCAATAGAAAAGTAGACTGAAGAACATACACGTACCTGTCACCCAGCTTCTTTTGTATTTTCTATGTATACAATTTTATCATCTTTCAATAATAATAGCTTTATTTCTCCCTTTCCAGTGCTATGTCCCTGTTTTTCCTTCCCTCACTGGCAGAAATGAGGATAACCAACATCCTGTCTTCCTAATTTCAAAGGAAAAACCTCAACTTTTTGCCTTATATTATCATAGCTAGGTTTTTTAAAATCTACCTTTGCTGAGAGAGGTTTTTTGTTTAAATTATATATATTAAATTTTATTAGCTGCATTTTCTGCTTCTATTGAGATGACCATATGTTTTTCCTTTATTCTGTTAATGAGACAGTATATTGATTAATTTTTAAATTACAAACCAATCATATATTTCTGGTATAAAAACAACTAGATAATAGGATAGTCAGACGAATGTAAAAGAGATGGCCATGGTAAAACTCTAGAAGTGGGGGAGGGAATCATTTTATTCTTATATAAACTCTCCCAAGGAGTAGAAAAAAAGGAAATGTTCCCTAGCTCATTTTACATGAATACCAAAACTTGCAAGGATGGTATAAAAAAATAAACAAAAATTTTGAATCAGTTGATTCAGATTATTTTTGAAACAAAATATTAAACTGAATTTAGCAATATATAAAAGGTAATACATTCATCTTATCATGCTAACTATATTATGCTCCTGATGCTCCCCTCCATTTTTCCTATTTCAACCCATTATTTCCTTTCAGATCACTTGTTTTAATATGTAATTACATTATGTGTTCATTTCTTTTGGTCTGTCTCCCTTTAGAAATCTTCCAGAGTGATATTTTAATGAAATAATTTGAGTATTGTGTTGTTTATATATGGATGCTTTTGATAAAGTACTTTTTTTTTTTTTTTTTTTTTTTTTTTTTTGAAATTAAGAAGAAACGTGGCGGCTATCTTTCTCTCACATTGAAAAGGACATTTTGAAAAGTCACGGACAATCTAAAACATGCTGTGAAATTAATGGGATGAAGTGTTGCAGGTAACTTCATTATTTTGTTAAATGGCAAATTACCAATGGAATGTTTAATTCTTTGTTGATTTCATAGCTCCAATCTGAAGATGATCATTGTTGAGTTGAGTCCTGGGGGCAGCGCATGGCTGGATCGACCCTGGAGTATTATCTAGAGTGTGAGCATGAAACCGGGGAAGCCAGATCCAAGGGACCAAGGAAATAGTGTTAGAAGGCAAGGCCAGGGAGCATAGTAAGTCCTGAACCTGGATCAGATAGTTGTATGAAGTAGGACAGAGTGAGAGGATATAAACACTCGCCATGGCTAGCCACGACAATTGGATGTGTCTTAGTCGTCTGGTTGCTTTAAGGTAATGAGCATTAATGTCACATAATGGGAGGAGACTAAAAGATTACTCTTATTGGATACTGGTGCCTGCTTTGAGATGGTTTGTTCGTGGTGAAGGCCAGGGACTGATTAGATCTACTTGGAACAACACTAAGAGGTAATTATTTTTCTTGTTAACATATGCATTGTAAAGAGCTGAGATTGAAAAGAGTTTTCAAACTCATCATTCGAGTTTCTAAAGTTGTCTAGTAGAAGGGTCACAAAAGTTAAAAGGTCAAAACAATGCCCACATGCAGGCACGGGAGATTAAGGCTTCATATGTAGGCTTTGAAACAGGCATTAAGAAAAATATATTTCCTGGGGCGCCTGTGTGGCTCAATTGATGAAGCATCTAACTTCAGCTCAGGTCATGATCTCACGGTTCGTGGGTTCAAGCCCCACATTGGTCTCTGTGCTGACAGCTTAGAGCCTGAAGTCTGCTTTGGATTCTATCTGTGTGTGTGTGCGTGTGTGTGTGTGTGTATGTGTGTGTGTGTGTGTCTGCCCCTTCCCTGCTCTATCTCTCTCAAAAAAAAAAACCATAAAAGGGGCGCCTGGGTGGCGCAGTTGGTTAAGTGTCCGACTTCAGCCGGGTCACGATCTCGCGGTCTGTGGGTTCGAGCCCCGCGTCGGGCTCTGGGCTGATGGCTCAGAGCCTGGAGCCTGTTTCTGATTCTGTGTCTCCCTCTCTCTCTGCCCCTCCCCCATTCATGCTCTGTCTCTCTCTGTCCCAAAAATAAATAAATGTTGAAAAAAAAATTAAAAAAAAAAAAACCATAAAAGATTTTAAATTAAAAAAATAAAAATATCTTTTCTATTTTTTAAGTTTAAAAAATTGTTTCAAGTTTATTTATTTATTTTGAGAGAGAGAGTGGGGGAGTGGCACAGAGAGGGAGAGAGAGAATCCCAGGAAGGCATCACACCATCCACATGGAGCCCAACGTGGGGTTCAAACCCACAAATACAAGATCATGACCTGTGCCAAAATCACGAGTTGGGTGCTTAACCAACTGACCCACTCACCCAGGGACCCCCTCCCCTTTTAAAGTTTTATTTAAGTAATTTCTATACCCATGTGGGGCTTGAATTCATGATCCCAAGATTAAGAACTGTACCCTCCTCCCAACTAGCCAGCCAGGCAACCCCCAAAAAATATATTTCTTTTTTTCTTAATTTTTTTTTTTTTTTAGCATTTATTTATTTTTTGAAAATGCTAGGCAGAGAGGCAGTAAGGCAGAGAGAGACAGTATGAATGGGGAAAGGACAGAGAGAGAGGGAGACGCAGAATCCGAAGCAGGCTCCAGGTTCTGAGCTGTCAGCACAGAGCCTGACGTGGGGCTCGAACTCACAGTGAGATCATGACCTGAGCCGAAGTGAGACACTCAACAGACTGAGCCACCCAGGTGCCCCTATATTTCTAATAAGCCTAAATAGTTTTATAAACGTTAAATTTTGTTAACTACTAAATAACGGGATGAGTAATTAAATATTTGCAGCTTAGTAAGACAAAATCATTTTGTAAAAATCATTTATTTATTTTATTATCTTTTTAAGTAGGCTATATGCCCAACATGAGGCTTGAACTCATGACCCTGAGATCAAGAGTCACATGTTCTACAGACTGAGCCAGTCATCTGCCCCCATTTTGTAAAAATTAAAATGAGATTTTTCTAGGTACTAAATGACTGGATGAATAAATATCTGCCAGTTTCATATAGTTGAATCTATCCTGATAGAATAAAATATTTAAGCTAAAAGAAGAGGGGAGAATAAAATGTGTTTGAAACTTCAAAACAGGTTCTAGAATGGCCTATAATTATATATCTTTATTTTTAATTTTTTATATATTATAATGTCTGTATTGTTTATTGTATCTTTTTTTTGTATCTTTTTTTTAATGTTTATGTATTTTAGAGAGCATGCAGGGGAGGGGCAGAGAGAGAGGGAGAGGATCCAAAGCAGGCTCTGTGCTGACAGCAGAGAGCTTGATGTGGGGCTTGAACTCACAAACTGTGAGATCATGACTTGAGCAGAGTTGGACACTTAAACCGGCTGAGCCATCCAGGCACCCCTGTTTATTGTATCTTTGTATTTTTTTCCTGTAACATGCCTAAAGCTTTTTGTGGAATGAAGCAGGTTGTCAATAAATAAAAATAAGTGGTTTTCTTTTTTATTCAACAGGAAAGATTGTCTAAAACTAATGAAATATCTTTTAGAACAATTGAAAATAAAGTTTGAAAACCGAAAGGAACTGGATAAGTTCTCCTCTTACCATGTGAAAACTGCCTTCTTTCATGTGTGTACCCAGGAGTCACAAGACAGTCACTGGCACACTAGAGACCTGGAGCTCTGTTTTGATAACTGTGTGGCATACTTTCTTCAGTGCCTCAAGATAGAACATCTTGAGCATTATTTTATTCCTGGATTCAATCTATTCTCTCGGGACCAAATTGACAAAATAAGTAAAGAATTTCTATCACAGGAAATTGAATATGAGAGAAACAATGGATTTCCAGTTTTTCATAAACTTTGAAATTATATTTTTAAAAAGAATCAAGAATTAGAGTGACTTTATAATATTGCAGTGTTTGAAATTTGTCACATTAATGATTAACTAAAATGAATGTAAATCATTTAACTCTTTTGTCTTAATGAACTATAATCAGTATAAACAGATTGATTATCCTAGGAAAGAGATTAATCAAGGAATAAAGAAGCAAAAGGCGTATTTACAATATAAAAGCTTTACCAGACTGGAATGAAAAGGACAAAATATTTATCACCTGAATTAAATTCATCAAGCACTTAGTAAACACCACTTCTCACCTAGCACAAATGTGTAGAAATTTGCAAGAGACGTTAGAAATGATCATTGCCTCCATAAAAATGGCAGACTTTGTTCAATGCTCAAACATATTTGGAAGCAATGTCTTGTCACATATGCCAGAATCAGTAAGAAGAAAGTGAAAAGTCTACATCATCTCTACATGTCTCAGGAAATCCATGTCATAGCAAAATATAGAATAATGCACATGGATAAATATAAAACATACAACTTACTTTTATTATATTTAGTAACACTTTTATATATATTTCTGAAAAGGCAATACATGCATATGGTACAACACTCAAAGAAACAGGTACTTCCATATCTGCTATTTCCAAATGTTACCCTTTCTCCTCTGTGCTCAGGCAGCATTCAACTTAGAAGCAGCTGCTGTTTGTTAATTTTTTTCCCATTCATACATTTTGCACATTTTCTTATTGGCTATTTTACTGTTTTCTCATTTTTTGTAGAAGTTCTTTATATATTTTGGATACTTACGCTTTGTTGGTTGTCTGTGTAACAAATAACTTCTCTCATTGTGTGGAGTGTCTTTACCATTTTTGGTGTTTTAGTAAACAAGGTTTTAAAATTTTAATGTAGTTGAATGTATCAGTTTTCTCCTTTATAGTCTGTGCATTTTATATATCCTGTTTAACATACTAAGAGAAAAATTAGACATTTGGAGGAAAGTTTTGGGGACAGTAAATCCTAAATAAATAGAAAACTAGACAAACAAAAATCAAAACTACTTTTAATTCCAGGAAGCAAATGTGTGCAAGAAAAGTCTGATTTGATAATATCGCTCAGCCGTAATTGTATGTGAAGACAAAGTAATATAACCATTGACTATCAGTGTCATCAAAATTATGATTAAGGAGGATAAAGGAATAGACTGAGTGCTTATATGGTGATAGTGAGGTAGAGGGGTTGGATTCTGTAGTTTCCTATTGCTCCATAACAAGTTACCACAAATTTGGTGGCTTAAAACAACACACATTTATTTCAGGGTTTGTTGATCAAGATTCTGAGCATGGCTCAGCACAGGGTCTCACAAGGCCACAATCAAGGTGTCAGCTGGGGCTGCTGTTTCATCTGGGACCAGACCGAGAAGGATCCACATTTGTTGGCAGTATTTATGTATTTACATTGCTAAGGCTGAGGACTTCAGTTTCTTTCTATCAGCCAGAGGTTGCCCTTAGCTGCTAGGAACTGCCTACAGTTCCTCACCATGTGAGTCTCCCAGCATTGGCAGCCCACACAACATGGCAATTCGCTTCAAAGCTCAAGGGAGGGACAGACTCCAGCAAGAGGCTGTGCTACTGTCTTATTTAACGTAATTCCATACATATAATCATGTACACTCCATCTCCTTTACCATTCCACTTGGTTGGAAGCAAGTCACAGGTCCCACGCATACTCAAGGGGAGGGGAATCCCTCAAGAGTGCTGTGTCAGTTTAGCCAGCTATACAGGTAGGAGACAACAGTCCCCACAAGACTAGCCTTACCTCTGACACCAATTGCGGTTTCAGGAGATTCCCAAAAGCATTCTTAGGATTGATAATTCACTGGAAAGACTCAGAAAACTCACTGAAACAGCTACACTCGTGGTTACTGGTTGCAATTTATTACAGGGTATAAAGATACAGGTTAAAATTAGTCAAGGGAAAAGCACTCAGCAGCGTCCAGGAGGATACCAAACACAGAGCTTCTATTCTTTCCCTGTGGAGTAGTGGATGCATTATTCTCTTGGCATCCATATATATAATACACATGAAATATGGCCAACCAGGGAAGCTCACCTGGGCCAGAGTGTACAGAGTTTTTATTGAAACTCCGTGGTCAACTCCCTACATGTCTAACCTCAGAGTCCAACCACTGTGGAGGTCAAGCATCATGATCCAAAGGCCCACCATAAATCACTTTGTTAGACTTTCTGGGCTGTTCCAAGGTCTTACTGATTACCTTCCAGAAGTCAATGGCAAAGGCAAGACCTCTGAGTTAGGTTTTTAACTTGAGTTAGGGCCATATCTTTATTACCTAGATATAAAGCCCAGGAGGGTGAGGGTCATGGAGCCACCCTAAGAGTATAACCAAGGCTGAATTATTTCTTACAATGGAAAATCAGTAAATATCAAATTTGAAAAACCTAGAAAATGCAATATAAGTATGTTATTTAGAAACGGCTAAAAGATGAAGTGGTTACATCTTGGTAATGGAAAAACGGGGGAAGGTGTGGGGACTTCTTTTTAAAAATTAAGCCATGCCCTTTGTAGCAACATGGATGGAACTGGAGAGTGTGATGCTAAGTGAAATAAGCCATACAGAGAAAGACAGATACCATATGGTTTCACTCTTATGTGGATTCTGAGAAACTTAACAGAAACCCATGGGGGAGGGGAAGGAAAAAAAAAAAAAAGAGGTTAGAGTGGAAGAGAGCCAAAGCATAAGAGACTCTTAAAAACTGAGAACTGAGGGTTGATGAGGGGTGGGAGGGAGGGAGGGTGGGTGATGGGTATTGAGGAGGGCACCTTTTGGGATGAGCACTGGGTGTTGTATGGAAACCAATTTGACAATAAACTTCATATATTGAAAAAAAAATAAAAATTAAGCCATGTAGGGTCTCCATCAGCCTTCCCTGTTGGCACCAGCATCAGTGGTGATCAAGACCAAAGCTAATTATGTCAGAGGCAAACATCCTCCGGAGGGACTGCCCAGCATTCTGGGCCCAGGGCCCTGTCACCTACTCAGTCTCTGAGGTCCCACCAGAAATCAGGCCCTGATCTCCAGAACACCCTCCCTGAAATTTGGCCCAATGGACGCCATGTGGCTCCAGTCCAAAAACCCCATCATAATTTCTTGTTTTGAGAGTGAAAATGAGCTGGGGAGGGGCAGAGAGAGGACAGAAGATCTGAAGCAGACTCTATGCTGACAGCAGAGCGCCTGATGTGGGCCCGAAACTCATGAACCGTGAGATCATGACCTGAGCTGAAGTCACTTAACCGACTGAGACACCAAGGTGCAGGAAACCCATCATTTTGAAGATCATGGCCCATACTGTAGTGATCCCATCCATCCACATTACTCGAAGGAGCCGAGCCCAAGGATTGCTTTTTTTCTTGGAGGAAAACAAACCCTCCAGCAAGAAGCCTGCTAGAGAGGACCTCTTTAAGACATGTAGCATCCCAGGCACTCCCACTGCCACTCCTGTGCTATACCCCCTGAATGTTGAGTCCAACTCCAGGAAAGAAAGATCTGGACGCCAGAAACTTGGAAATGTCTAATAAAGGCAATCCTCCAGCCAGCTGGAGACTCTTGGCTCTGCCTCCACCTCCACCACAGGCCATTGGTCTGTATTGCCTTGGCTTTGAGGGGCTGCTGAGGTCAGGAGACTTGGTCAGTCTCATCTGTGCTGTGTCCAAAGTTAATCAAAGTCCTCAGGGTCCCTGTGAAGCTCTGGGCCCCAGATACAACTCCTTCCCAAATCTCCTGCCAGCCGTGAAAGAGGAACGACTGTCTTTCTGTGCTGCAATCTAGATTCTGACTTACAGGTTCACTTAGTCTAATGAGTCAACTCTGGTAAACTTTTTTTGACTACTTTTATTATGAAAATATTCAAATATACACAGAAGTAGAAAGGGTAATATATTATCATATGTCTACCACCTGGCTCCAACAATATCATTTTAGTTTTCTGGTTTCACTTGTGGTCATTGAATTTGAAATTATACACTTTTTATTTCTACGTTTTATCAGGTTCTTATTCTCATACGCTATGGCACATTTTTAATGTTTATTTTTTGAGAGAACACGCAGAAGCAGGGGAGGGGCAGAGAGAGGCCTGAAGTAGGCTCCAGGCTGAGCTGTCAGCACAGAGCCCAACACAGGCTCAGGAGCTGTGAGATCACGACCTTGGCTGAAGTCAGATGCTTAACCAACTGAGCCACCCAGGCATCCCAAGAAACTACTTTTGTATGAATGTGTAGTAATGTAAGAGGAGGTAAAGCCCCGACCAATTATACACAAAGTGTTAATATAACTATCATGTACAGAACAGAAAACTATTCAAAACTATAAAGAGAAGTTGGGGAATGAGATTAGTCTAAGAATCTTTCATGGAAACGAAATTTTATTTTTCCTAGGATTTATTTTACCTATAGGCTGAAACTTAAGCACTGTTGCATATCCTAGTCTCATGAAACCCTTTTACTCTTTCATTTAGAAGTAGGTGAAGTATAATTATTTAGACAAGCACTCCCAAATACAGTTCTATTTAACAAAATTAAAGGGCTATTCAGGGTAAGAGATCACCTTATCTTTTTATCATAGAAAAAAATTGTCAACAGTATATTTTTCACTGCCATGATCTGCACAGGCTTTAAACTCCTTATTTTTTTTTTTAATTTTTTTTTTCCCAACGTTTTTATTTATTTTTGGGACAGAGAGAGACAGAGCATGAACGGGGGAGGGGCAGAGAGAGAGGGAGACACAGAATCGGAAACAGGCTCCAGCTCCAGGCCATCCGCCCAGAGCCCGACGCGGGGCTCGAACTCACAGACCGCGAGATCGTGACCTGGCTGAAGCCGGGCACTTAACCGACTGTGCCACCCAGGCACCCCTTTAAACTCTTTAAAGACTGACATTAATAGAGCAACATTTTAGGAGATAAAATGTACTTTTATTTTCAAATAAAGATAATAAAATTGGAAAATTAACTCAAGTTTAAATGTTTGATTTTATTAAAGAAGGTATAAAATATTGAATTCCACCTTTTTAAACACTATTTTAGAATCAGTCATCTCTTCATACAGCCAGCATGTTTGCAATATTTCCACATATCCTAAATAGTATCTCTAAAGTCTCGAAATCTGAAAAATAAGTAGAGGAAAACATAAATTGCTATTCCCAAGCCTTTAAATTTTAAACTGTGATAAAATTCATGTAACGAAATCTGCCACAGTGACCATTTTAAATATAGTTTAGTGTTATGTATCTTCATTTTTATACAGCAACTCTCTAAACTTTTTTATCTTGCAAAACTGAAAATCTATGCCCATTAAACACCTCCCATTTTCCCCCTTTGGCTCCTGAAAACCACTCTACTTTCTCTAGAAGCTGACTACTCTACCTACCTACGTTGTTCGGTGGAATTACACAGTATTTGTCCTTGACTGGCTTATTTCATTTAGCATAATATCCTCAAGGTTCACCCATGTTGTACCATCCTGTCAGAATTTCCCTTTACATACCAATTAGTTTCTCTGTTTATGCCTGGGTTGCCTCCATCTTTTGGCTATTAAGAAAGCTATGAACTTGGGTGGACAAACCTCTTAGGGACCCTGCTTTTAATTCTCTTGGATATTAACCCAGAAATGAAATTGCTGGGTTATTTGATTTTTTTGAGGAACTGCTTTATTCTGCAGTGGATACACTCCTTACATTCCCACCAATAGTGCACAAAAGTTCTAATTTTACCCCTCCTCGCCAAAACTCAGTTTATTTGATAGTAGATATTCTATAATAGCCATCTGAATGTGTGTGAGACAATCTCATTAGTTTTTATTTGCATTTCCCCAGTGATTAGTGAGGCTGAGCATCTTTTAGTGTTTGTTGTCCATTTGTGTATCTTTGGAGAAAGGTATATGGAAGTCATTTGCCCATTTTTTAATCAGGTTTTCATTCAGTTTTGAGTTCTCTATAAGTACTAATTCCTTCAGATATGGTTCACACACAAAAAAAATAGAGGTATCATGCTAAGCAAAAGTCAGAGAAAGACATACTATGATTTTACTCGTGTAATTTAAGAAAACACAAGCAAAGGAAAAAGAGACAAACCAAGAAACAGATTCTGAACTAGAGTACAAACTGCTAGTTATCTGAGGGAGGTGATTGGGAGATAAGTGAAATAGGAGAAGGGCATCAAGAAGGGCACTTGTGATGAGCACTGGGTGGCTGTCAGTGTTAAAAAAATCCTCTGGAATTTATTCATATAGCCCCCTACTGGACAATTAGGTTAGTCTTTTCCTACTACAAATATTGCAATAATGAATCTTTACTTACATATGCAGACATATTTATAGAATACATTCCTAAAGTTAATAGCTGAAAAGGTTATGTATTTGTAATCGATACATTATCAAATCGCACAGAGCTTCTACCAATTTATACCTCAGCCAACTCAGTTACTCTTAATGAGATTTCTATACAACTTAAAATTTTCAACTCTCTAATACTTGCAACTCTAAATGAGATATATTAACTGGAACTTATATAAAAGTTAAATAACCCCTAATAATTTGTGTTAATGACTCTTAGAGATAGTGCTGATTGCAACAAACATAGTAACAGTGTAGTTAAGGAAAACAGGTCGTTGGAAATCCAAAATTTGAAAGTGTTAAATTTTACCTCCTGTAGGTAGGCTGGTACCACTTTTCAACAAGGACATTAGTAATAACATTTCTTAGGTTTTCCTTGGGGTTTCCCCAATTTTTCCATTTCTCTTCTCAGTTTATTTGCCTTGTATCTCTCGGCCATTGCCATAAGTTCATCTGGGACATTCTGAAACATTAAATGTTTATTACTAGGAATGAGATTTTCTTGCAGAGTGAAAGCTTTTCTTGGCAGTTTTAAAAATTTTTTCTATTGTTTGAGAAACAAAGAGCAAGAGTAGGGGAAGGGTAGAGAGAGGGAGACAGAATTTGAAGCAAACTCCAGGCTCTGAGCTGTCAGCACAGAACCTGCTCCCAATCCCGTCCCCTTCTCTCTGCCCCTCCCCTCTCAGAAATAATTAAAAAACTATTTCAAAAAATAAATGAATAAAACCAGACTGATCTTTAAAAACTTCCATGACTATGCTACCACTCCCTGCTTGCATGGCCCTTTACAGTAACTGGTGCCACTTTCTGTATGTTCTTTCTTACCACTGGGCCTGAATGTTCGCCTGCTAGAACATGTACCCCTTTCTTGTACAGTTCTTCCAAACTCCGCCCCATTGGCTTCTTCCTCAGTATGATTTCCATTGAAGCTCACTACCATTAGATCAGGTTCCCCAATTATATACCATAGCTCCTTGTCTTTGCCATGCTATAGCACTCATAACATGTTTAATGTTTTTTCCTGACAAGCACTAAGCCCCAGTACTTGGAATAAATAAATAAATAAATGAAATTATTTGAACATTAGAAAAGTGATACAAGGTAGAGTTCTGAGTTGTTTATTCTCACCTGATGTGTTCTTTCCAGAATGTTAATTAACTCACCAGCGATCCTCCAGTCATTTCTAGTGATGAGGGTAATAGACATTCCAGTCTTCCTATAAAAGGGGAGGAGTGCGTGTAATTCAATTTTATAATCTGTACTCACGATTCAGTTAGCAAAACAATAAAAATAGCAAAACCTCAACTTTTTCACAAGCCCAAATACGTTATTCATTAAAAGTTAGCATCACTCCAACAGCAATTTGGAATCTCAATAATCTGGAGCTGTTCTATTTTTATTTTAGAGAGAAAGAGTGTGCATGCAAGTGGGGGAGAGGCAGAGGAGGAGAGAGAATCCCAGGCAGGCTTGATGCTCAGTGTGACCCTGGGATCATGATCTGAGCTGAAACCCAGCATTGGATGCTCAACTGACTGAGCCACCCAGGCACCACTGTTTCAACTGCGTATTCCCAAGGGATTTGCTAGTAGTCCTCTTACACAGGAACAGTAGAGTATCCACTGTGGATAGCTCAGTGTGACACTGTAGATATAAAGCAAAGAGTAGAATAAGAAACAGCTGCAACTAATCAGAGAGGCATCTGGTTGAATCTGGAACAGGCCAATTGGACAGGGATAAAGTAGCAAAGCAAGTGGCACAGACAATTTACAGGCAAGACCAAAAAACACTTTTCTAGCTAAGAATCATTTGTGAACGGAGTAATGGTGGTTGGCTGCTTTCATAGGTAGACTGTGCTTACTTACCCTGCCCTTCCTGTGCGGCCTACTCTATGTACATATTCTTCAATGTTCCGGGGGAAATCGTAATTATAAACATGTGTGATGTCGTGGACATCAAGACCTCGAGATCCTAAGTCTGTGGCAATCAGTATTCTTATTTTACCTAAAGAATAAAACCAAAAGAATATACATTCTGGCATAAACCAACCCAAGACATATCAGAAAAGTATATTCTCCCCTAATATCTAATTGGGTGAACCATTGTTACTTTTAATATTAAAATACTTACGACAGTGAAAATTAGAAAGGGATATTTGTATATATATTTATATATAATACAATATAACATAATATTTATATATATTTATATTTCTTTTAAACTGCTGGCAAGTTATAATACAATATACATCATGGTTCAGCAGATAGTCCCTGCATCACCTGAACCATGTCAAAGATATACAACTTTCAGGTAAATTAATGGCAGTACCCCACATTGCAAATTACCTTGATATGCAGGTTTAAATAGTAGTTCTTGGGAGTTTGGATAGCTAAATATATTTAATACATGACTAAAACGTATTCTTAATTTGAGAGTGTCCACCCAAGCAGGGGAGAGGGTCAGAGGGAGAAAGAATCTGAACCCACGCTCAGCACTGAGCCTAACGTGGGGCTTGATTCCATGACAGTGGGATAAAGACCTGAGCTGAAACCAAGAGTCAGATGCTGAACTGACTGATCCACCCAGACGCCTGTGAAAATCTGAATATTCAGAGCTCTAGCAAGTAGTTTTGGGATCTGCAAACTGAGGACAGATCTTAGAAATGGGTTCCATGAAAAGGTGTCACTCAGCCAGGTGCAGGCATTATACACTTAAACTGGATCAAATACTAATTGTGTAATGTACCTGTTTTTTTTTTTAATATACCTGTTTTAAAGTTTTCTAATGCTTTCTCTCGGTCTTTCTGTTCTCTGTTGCCGTGAAGGGACTCCACTGATATATGTTGCAGGATCAGGTCACTTGATAAGTGATCGGCACTGAAGCAAAAGATGAAGTCAGTGATCTTAAGTGCTTATTCTAATACCACTATCAATTTATTAGTTTCACTTCTATTAGCAAGGACTATTCCATTCTATTTACTTCTATTAGCAGAAGACTGAAACATACTGAAAGATATATATACACTGTTTGAAATTAATATACAAATAGAGCTAATGCTAAACACATCAGTTTGATGATTTAATGATGTAAAAGAAAAAATACTCACACAGCTTTTCTACTAACAAACACGATGACTTTGTCTTTGGGAGACATGTTTTCTAGAAAAGTTTGGATATGAGATCGCTTCTCTTCTTCTGTGGTGACAATTATGTTTTGTTTCACTGTACTTACTGCCTAAAGGAGTCAAAAGATCAGTACATCAAAATTGATAGGCAAACAATACACACTGGCTCAAAATGTATCTATCGCTATCACTGGTTAAGTTTTAATAAACTGCCAAGGGGAAAAAGGCAGATCATCTCAAAAGGACCTGTTTCTACTCAAAGATTTATCATTCAGCCTCTTGCTTCTTACTTATTCACCCAAGCTGAGTTGGAAACTTGAGTACTTGGCAAGTTAGTTGAAAGTAATTGGTTACCATTGTTGGGAAAGATGACCAGAGTGAGGCCAAACTGCCATGAATTTGGGTACAGTTCTTATAATGAAGGAGGAGGATCAGCTTGGGACAAGAGTTTCCATTCAGTGTGTATTCTGACACTTTAATGCAAAATTTTAAAATATCATTGATACAATTTAACCCAGAGATAAAATGGGTTTTAATAGCATTTAATGAAAGGAATGCCATATCTAGCCAAACTTTTCATGCAATCTAATGAAATGAGCCTAGGCAATGACCTATCACTATTACTTGTGATTAAAAGATCAATTTTTCAATAATGATTAATTGAACATTCAATTTCGATTAAGTGGAAGGCCAGGGAACTTTCAAAGGAGGAGATACATAATGGAGATCTTTATGGATTGTAAAATTACTGATATCTGAACCCACTGATCCATCGTAATTTCACCAAAACACTAGACTTACACACATGCACTTGTTGACCTTGTTCAGAACCTGATTAACAGGATTAAATAAAAATGAGGTATCAGGAAAATAGGAAAAAGGACTGGATAGGAGGGTATTGAGGGATTATTAAAATTTTAGATGTGAAATAACTACCATAATTGTTAAAATTAGTCTTGGATATATACTGAAGTTTTTATCAATGAATCATACGTATCTAAGATTTTCTCTATAACTAGGGAGTGGACAGAGTTGTCATGTCAAAACAAAGTAATTACAATTCTCATAAGAAATATTTTTGGTAATAGTAATAAAAAAACAAGCTTACAATTAGGTCCAAAGTACCAACATATACAATCATGGGCTCTTTTAAATAAGACTGTGCAAGTCGACGGACAGCATACGGCCACGTTGCACTGGAAATAAAGCATGATACAAACATTAAAATTTTATCATAAAAAATTACCATTTCCCTAAGAATGCTATGAATCAGATTACCCATAGAAGACAAATTTAGTACTTTTAAATAAGGAGGACTTTTACAGAATGTGTACTTCACAAAGAATTGCTGGACTAGAGTGAGGCTACTAGACGATACCTTTAAATAAGCTGAATTAAAAAGTTTATAAACCAAGGTGAAGGAGATCTATGCCTTAAATTCTAATCAAAAATGAATTCGAGATTTAGATTAGTTTTCCCCTGGCCTTTATAAAACAGTATTGTCAGCATACACTGTCAGTCAAAAAACCAAGTGCTTATGCAAAATAAAAGCATTTTAAGTGTACTGAAAGGACATGTAAATTCAAATGTTTCTTCATCCATACAAAGTAATCTTACCTTTTGTACTTTCACTGTAGTTATAACAATGGAACTATTAGTAACAAATGAGGACATACTTCCAATTATACACTATTCTTTTTAATGTTAATGGCACAAAGGTTATAAGCCACAGAGAAAAGTGTATAGATCACTCTGCATTTATTTTTATTTAATGTTTTTATTTTATTTGAGAGAGACAGTGTGAGCGGGGAACAGAGAGGAAGACAGAATCTGAATCAGGCTCCAGGTTCTGAGCTATTGGCAGAGCCTGACTGAGGGCTCGAACTCAAACCGGAAGATTATGACCTGAGCCAAAGTTGGATGCTAAACTGAGCCACCCAGGCTCATTTAAATAACATTGTTTCTCAGTTTTATCATGGGCAAAAAACTATTTAGTATCAAAGGTTTGTCTCTAAGAACAGGTGCATGTTTTCAAATGTGAGGCCCCCACTTCTGAAACAATCTCCCCTCCATGAGTTCCCTGTGTGTTTTCACAGAAATGTCTACCTATAACTTAGGAAATCCAAATCATTATTATACTGCTACACTGAATTGCTGTACTAAGTGATGACATAACGTCTTTCACCGAAGCATCTCAAGATACCTTCAATACTCTAACATCCTGTAGGGGAATTAAAAATGGAGTCTAGTCCAGTGATTTCTATTTTGTAGACTAGCAATTAGGCATATTACCTACCTTGTCATAATTGTCTGCCTGTCAGGGCGCACATCTAATAAAATCTTCATTATCTGGGGTTCAAATCCCATGTCTAGCATCTTGTCAGCTTCATCTAATACCTGCATTAAAATGATCGTGGCTACATTAGATATGGGAGGTAACTAATATGCTGTTAACATACTATAATAAGGTAATTCTCTCATTTCCCCTATTACTTAAGCCAGTATTTTATTTATTTTAGAAGAATACCTTTTGAGAAAGATAGCAGGAGTTGGGGAGAGTCCCAACCAGGCTCCCTCACACCTGGTGAGGTGAGATCATGACCTTAGCCAAATTCCAGAAGAGTCTAATGCTTAACTGACTGAGCCACCCAGGTACCCCTTAAGCCACTATTTTAATTTCTTCAGAACAAATAAGGGCGGATCTAGTTGTAACACAGATTGATTTAAGCCGGCTTACAGTTTCTAGATCTAATGAAAAAAATGTTAATGTCGGGGCACCCGGGTGGCTCAGTCGGTTGAGTGCCCGACTTCGGCTCAGGTCATGATCTCAGTTTGTGAGTTCAAGCCCTGCGTCGGGCTCTGTGCTGACAGCTCAGAGCCTGGAGCCTGCTTCGGATTCTGCGTCTCCCTCTCTCTCTGCCCCTCCCCTGCTCACACTCTGTCTCTGTCTCTCAAAAATGAATAAACATTAAAAAAAATTATTAAAAAAAATGTTAATGTCTAAAATATCTACATGAATTTTAATTTTTTTTTTACTTATCTACATTTTCTAATATTTATAAAAATTGAAATAGAATGCAAAGCATAGACCTTTGGTTTTGGCTCAAATCATGATCTTGGGGCTTCAAGCCCTGCATCGGGCTCTGTGTGGGCTCTATGCCAGCAGCAGAGCCTGCTTGGCATTCTCTGCCCCTCCCCCACTCGTGTTCTCTGCTTCTCAAACTTAAAAAAATAAAACTATTACAACATGGATAGTATTCTAAGACTGTTTTAATAAGAATTCTATCCTTCCTCCTAGTATCCCAAACCCTCACTCCATGATTACCAAGTAAGTTATGCTTCTGAGGTCGACAAAGTTATTCATTTGTAGATCATTCAGTCTTCCAGGAGTTGCAATAATAATATCTACTCCTTTTTTCAGTTCTTGTATCTGACCATTTCTATCTCCACCACCATATATACAAACACTTAAAAAAAAGAGGTACATGTTCAGGCAAGGAATGTCCCATTACAACGCAAAATCCCAACCAAAGCATTTTGGGTACAAAAAAAGGTATGTAAATCAGAAAGTATCAGATACCCTCTGGGTAGTATTTGTCCCTTTCTAAGAACTATCCACACCCATCAACCCTCAGTGATGTGTTCTAAAGAGCCATATTTGCATCACTGTTACTTGATGTCACTGACCTGGCTGCCTTTGATTTAGAGTGGGGTAATGCCTGACCCATGCTGAGCCAATCACATTCTCTAAATGTGTAAAAAATGGGGACAATGTATAAAGCTATGAATTATTAAAATGCCCTTAGAAGAATGGACAATGAAATGACAACGTACCTTTTAAGGCCTTTATATGAATACTTAGAACATTCCGCTTGTACTTGAAGAGCTAATTCCCTAGTGGGTATAAGGACTAACATTCCAGGTCCGTTCCTTTTTTCTCTAATTCTTTGGAGAGAAAACAATTATTAAAGTACCTGTCTCAGGTACATATAGTACATTCATTCACCACTTTCAGAATTTGTAGGAATCAATGTCAGAAGTCACATACATTCACCACAAAACGTGGAGTACAGAAAAATGGCACAACAAAACACCAAGGGCCCAGATACCAGCCTTTTCATTTAACATGGCCAACGCTTTCCCTGTGTCAAACATTCCCACACAACTGTATTGGACATAATAATTTAAACATTTCCAATATTTCACTATTAAGACTACCTATCAGTTCCTAAAAATCCTTTGTCAGCTTATACTCTGACCAGGCCAGTATAAGTTCATTTCCCTGAGGCTAGGCATACTTTTTGGCCAATGCAACAGATGAAAGAAACTTTAATTGCATCTTTGATATCCACATCTATTAAGCCCCTATGAAGAGAACCCAGCTGTAGAAATTCTTACACAGGCTGTAAATCGAGATGGATGAATCCAGGCATTAGGTAGGACAATGTCTTCCCTGTTCCAGTTTGGGATACTCCTATAAGGTCTATTCCTTGTAGGACTATTGGCCATGTCTGTGACTAAAACAGAAATATTAAAAGTGAATCTTTCAGTCAAATGCCCCTCCTCTCCCTGCCACAAACTTCTTTCAACATTTTTTTTCATGCTAGGCCCTGCTGGTACAGGGGATGCTCACAAGGGATAGTTACTCCCTGGTGATTTAACTTCTAATAATCAGACATTGTTTGGGGGGAAAAAACTGTCAGTAAAACATTGGAATTAAAGAAACCATACCTGAATTGGTGTCGGCTTCCTGAAACCTGCCTTTTTAATGTTTTCCATAACCTCAGGGTAATGTTTAAAGGCGTCCTCAAAAGTACAGGTAGGATTTGGTATCTGACGCTTCTGACCATTTTTCAAGTCATCACACATTATATTATAATTTTCTTTCCTTTAAGGAAAAAAGTATTAGTGGCTTTGGTCACTTTATTCCCCAAGTAAGAAATGTTTCCCAGCATTAGTTCATCATATCTAGAAATTCAACTGCAACTGTCAAACTACAGAAAAATACAATAGAAGTGAGCCCATCTTTTTCTTATCAGAATAGTTAACAGAAAAGAAAAAAGATACATTGTATGAATGGGCCAGTGAAATTTCATCGAAAGCTGAAGAATAGAGCCTGAAAATCACATGCTTCATGATTTCTATCAGACTTGGCAAACACAAGGTTCTACAAATGTTCCACATACATTTACTGTCAACAATCCTATCAAATGGAAATTTCTCATTTGACAAGTGATCACTTGTCCAAAGTCTGAGCCCTATTCCAATCCTAGAGTAACTGTTCTGCTCTTCCATATTATCTTAGTTTTATAATGGACTGGTAGAAAACACATTGCTGTTAGGACCCTTAATTCCAAATAAGCACTGAAGAAGAGATGCTGATATTCATATCAACTTATGATTTAACAGTAGTAGAAATAATTCTCTAAAACTGCTGTCCAACACAGCAGGCACTGCACTAACCACAGTAGTCTTCCTGAGTTAAAAACTCAGCTCTTCAATTACACTAGCCACATTTTCAAAGTTCAATAGCTATCAATAGTGACTCCTCTATTGGACAAATACTATCCTTTTTCCATCTTTGCAGAAAGGTTTCTTGGATAGCAATGTTCTAAAATATTTCATGTAGGATGTAACCAAGTTCATGTGAATACCAGAAATGTAGTCTTCGATTGCAGTAATTTTAAATGTTTGCCTGATGAGTTAATTTAATAATATAACAATACAAATACTTAAACAAAACTACTCACCTCCAACTTTCTACTTGCTCTTGTGACATTGAACTTGTTGCTTCTGACTCCTTGTAAAAATTTTTCTTAATTGCAGGTAAGTCTGAAACAAAGATGAAAATTAAAACTTTTTGATAAGTCAGGATTTATATTTCATTGAAATTTATTCAATAACAGAAGTTAAACTAATCTATTAAATTCACCTTACAGGTTTAGACAGTTCTTTGCCAGTCAGACTTATGCTAGTCTCTAAGAGATCTCCTGTTTTGGTTTCTTTCAATTACATTTTTCATCTGAGAAAGGGAGCCCTGATAATTAAGTTTAGTAAGAGAAAGAATACTTTACATAAGACAATCATCCCAATTGGTAAATCTTCTCAAACACAGTAGACTGATTTTACCTTGTCTTTGAAGATCTATTTTATTTCTGTTTAGGTATAGAATATTTATTCTACTTTGAGGCTATTTTGTCTCCTTTCTTTTATATGGCTAGCATACTTCCTCCAAACTTAAATCTTTTCTGGACCCCCTATCCTTGATCTCCCTACCACATACTGTTCAGGGCGGCACTGGTAACTTAACATGCAGATGAACTGAACACTTAAATGGTCATTGTTATATTTGTCACTATTAGTGCATTAGCTTTTTGCTTTTTAATTTAACTTTATTTTAGAGAGTTTGAGAGGGGGAGAGTGGGAAAGGGGGGAGAATGTTAAGCAGGCTCCACACTCAGTGCTGAGCCCATTGCAAATTTTAAATGACATTGTATTGCTGCCTTGTGGTAGCCAAAATTAGCACCTGAATTTAGACTGAAGTTTAGTGGATGTGAAACATTACACTCCATAATTCCAAGTGAGAATCTCACTTAAGATTAATGCAAATGAAAAAAAACCCTCATCTCTTCTCAAAAACTGTTTTTCTTTCTTATTAATGTTTTTCCCTTATTTTGCCCTTGTCAGCAAGGACACTCCAGAATCAATTTCTCAACCACATCCAACAATGTTAACCACTTATGGTTGGCATGTTCATTGTCTTCATTTTCCCCTTGGGCCTGATTTTCTATATTTTATTAAACTCTTGCCATGAATTACCTCCAATAAGACAAAAAAGTGTAATGTTTTTAAGTTTACCTTTTTGGAAGAGAACTCAAATGGAGGAGGGGCAGACAGGAAGGCACAAAACCTGAAACAGGCTCCAGGCTGAGCTGTCCATGCAGAGCCAGATGTGGGGCTTGAACCAATGAGCTGTGAGATCATGACCTGAGCCAAAGCTGGATGCTTAACTGACTGATCCACACAGACTCCCCATAAGTTTAATATTTTAATTTCCCAATTATAACACTGATAACAGCATAGAAAACATAGAAACAAGTCTTGCCACAGGGACTAACTGCAGCATTTAATGTTTTATTAACATTTTTCATATTGATTTCATTACTAGAAATAAGACACATCTTAGAGGATAAAAACCTCAAGTAAAACCCACCCCCCCAAAAAAAAACCCAAAAAAATAAACCAAAAAAAAAACACCAAAAGTACACCAACACTAAATGTACATGTTAGGATACAGCACTAACCTTCCCACTTTTTCTTTTTCCATTTCAAAGCATCTTCTCGAATTTGATCCCAATCAATCAATGGCTGATTCTCTGTACTATTACCCTCTGTCCTTAAATCTCTTCCAACAGAAGGTTGGAATGCAACAATATCTGTTAAAATATTTTTTACCAAATTAGTTCAAAACAAATCCTAATTGTATAAATTACCCCACTTTACTGTTTTGTGTTTAAAAACCAGACAATAGGGGCACCTGGGTGGCTCAGTCTGCTTAGATCATGATCTCACTGTTGGTGCATTCAAGCTCCACCTCAGGCTCTGTGCTATCAGCTTGGAATTCTCTCTGCCTTTACCTGGCTCATGCACACTCTCTCAAAATACATACATACATACATACATACCAGAAAATAATGCTTAAAATATAAAGAGTAGGTTTTAGTACTATGATGCTACGACAATTTGTATAGTTTTTCAGTTACCAGAGTTACTGAAATGGAAATTTATTAAAGAAATGGAAATTAGTTTGAAAGCCTGGTGTTTGCTAATAAATCCCAAATTAATCTTTACAACAATCCTGTGAGGCAGAGGTCACCCCAGGTTAACAGATAAAGAATCTTAAAGGCTTCCCAGAGCTTCCTTCCTAAGAAACACTGAGGCAATGCTGCCATCAACTTTAAGATGCCGTTTCTTTGTTACTTTCGTATTTCCGGAAATGGCTCAATAATGGCTTTTCCTCTAGTCCAAGATCTGAGATTTTTTTAAGTAAACTATACCTAACAGGGGGCTTAAACTCATAACCGCAAGATCAAGAGTCACATGCTCTACCAACTGAGTCAGCCAGGTGACCCTGAGATTTTTTTAAATGCCAAACTAGGTAGTTTTCAAAGTTGGTCACATTCTAGGGAAGAGATAGAATCAGAAGGTCATGACTAATCCTTCTACCATTAATAGTGAATGCATTAAAAGGTTATTTTGTTTTTTCTCACTTACCTGTGGCTAAAAGTAAAACTGCAAGGCTTCACTCACCATAGAGATTAAGTGTTTTAATGTAAGAAAATGAGTATTCTGGCATTTCAAAGGAAAAAATCCATAACAGATAAGATTTAATGACAGCAATCTGAAGATGTTATCAGGAAAAGCATCAACTAAGCAATTTTTAAACAAAGCAATTTTTAAAATTTTAACAAGGCTGTGCTATACAAAAATTACTTACCAATTCTAGGCTTTAAACCGTAACTTTCTTGTTGTTTAACAACATTATCTATCGCTGTTTTGGCCTTGGCCTTCATACCCTTGCTACCGAATATCCTGACCTGTGCATCAGGATAACCTTTTATTATCTAGAAGCAGGAGAAAAATAGGTGAGACTGAAGTCCTTTTACCACGCCCCCCTCCAAAAAAATCACTCAACTTCAAATAGCATAAAAATTTTAAGTAAATCTAGTAGTATTGCTATCAGTGTCTTTAAGTTCTAATTGGAGGGGATTCTTCATTCTACAAATCTATCCTGAGATCTATCTCCTGGTTGGAGGAAAAGGAACAGGACAATCTAAATTTAAAAACTACCATGTCAGGGGCACCTGTGTGGCTCTGTCGGTTAAGGTCAGACTCTTGATTTCAGCTCATGATCTCATGGTTCATCAAGCCCCTCATTGAGCTCTGCTCTTGACAGCAAGAGCATGCTTGGAATTCTGTCTCAAAATAAACTTAAAAAAAACCCTACAGTGACAGTTATGGAATACATTTAGCAACTAGTGTTAGAAGATTAAACTGTTAATCTGACCTCTTTTTAACTATGAAATTGTAATTTGGCAAATCATACAGAACTGTAGGGATGTGGCAGATTAACCTATGTGCTATATTAATAGCAGATTGAGGGGCGCCTGGGTGGCGCAGTCAGTTAAGCGTCCGACTTCAGCCAGGTCACGATCTCGCGGTCCGTGAGTTCGAGCCCCGCGTCGGGCTCTGGGCTGATGGCTCGGAGCCTGGAGCCTGTTTCCGATTGTGTGTCTCCCTCTCTCTCTGCCCCTCCCCCGTTCATGCTCTGTCTCTCTCTGTCCCAAAAATAAATTAAAACGTTGGAAAAAAAAAATTTTTTTTAATAGCAGATTGAATGGTCAGGTTATTTATGTAAAATTTTAACTTGAGGGAAAGCAACCTTACTACAAGGCTGACATGACATTTGAAGACTCTTGAAGTCACATCCTTAACTATGCATAATCCCAGATAACCTCATTGATTCAATATCTGGAAATTGCTATACCAAATGCTATCTTAGGCTAGTGATTTCAAGAAAGCTTAACAATTTCCACTATTTACAGACAACTCTGTTCTTTTTATGTTTATTTTTGAGAGAGGGCATGTGTGGAGGGGAGAGGCAGAGAGAGGGAGATAAAGAACAGGCTCCTCATGTCAGTACAGAGCTGGATGCAGGGGTCAATCCCACAAACTGAGATCAAGATCAGAGTGAAAACCAAGAGTCAGATGGTTAGGGGCCCCTGGGTGGCTCAGTGTCCAACTTCAGCTCAGGTCATGATCTTGTGGTTAGTGAGTTCAAGGCCCGTGTTGGCACTGTGCTAACAGCTCAGAGCTGGGAGCCTGCTTTGGATTCTCTCTCTCTTCCCCTTCCCCACTCAGTGTCTGCTTCTGAAAAATGAATAAAGCTTAAAAAACAAAAGTCAGATGGTTAACCTACTGAGCCACCCAGGCCCCCTGTATAAGTTCTTGAAATGAGGCTGAAATGAACACGGAGAGGATGGAAAGAATGGGGATGCAGGAGGTCTTAGGCCTCCCTGATGAGCAGGAGTTATATCAGCTAAGATAGGAGAGTGTCAGGAGCCCAGCTGTAAGTACTCAAGGAGTTCAGTGGAGGGAGTGAAGGCAAAGGAGGCAAGAGGTTAAAGGAGACAGATCAAGTGGACCATGCTAAGGAGTCTGGACTTCTTAAGAGCCTGAGATATCATGAAAAATTTTTATGCAGGAAAGAAAACAAATTATGAAAACAATTTGTATTTTAGAAATATTGCCCTGGTCACAGTAGAGCCTAGTGAGAGGGGGATAAGACTAGAAGTGGGATGGAAGATTAGGGGAGAATGCCCCAAATGTGATTCCCCTTGAGAAATACAGGAAATATAAAGGAACGCAGTGACGGACTGGTTGCAGGATAAGTACAGGGAAGTAATCTGAGATTTCTGGCTTGGGAACTGGGTGAATGATATAGCTGCTGAGACTGGGAACACAGGCGCAGGTCAGGGTTTGAGGGATGGGGTCCAAAAAGCACATGATGAATATTCAAGATCTCATTGTCAGTTGAGATTATCGCTAAAGATTTTTACCTCCAGGAGTCACAAAACCTAGAACTGGAAATGGACCACAATGTGGGACCATTCCTGAAAAAGAATGGCAGCCTGAAGAGTTTTGCCAATTCATTTAAATAACCAATAGTCGGGGCGCCTGGGTGGCTCAGTCGGTTAAACGTCCGACTTCAGCTAAGGTCCCGATCTCGCGGTCCGTGAGTTCGAGCCCCGCGTCGGGCTCTGGGCTGATGGCTCAGAGCCTGGTGCCTGCTTCTGATTCTGTGTCTCCCTCTCTCTCTGCCCCTCCCCCGTTCATGCTCTGTCTCTGTCTCAAAAATAAATAAAACGTTAAAAATAAATAAATAAATAAATAAATAACCAATAGTATGTTAATAACTAATGAGAAATTATAGTTACAAATGAACTATGTTCTTTGAGGATTTAATACAGACCACTTACCTGTATTTTTGTGTTTGTTGTACTTTGTATGTCTTTTATTTTTGACCCACCACGACCTGTTTTTAATAAAATATTTAAGAGATTTAATCAAAGCCACAACTGGATATCACCTCACACCTATGAGAATGAGTATCAAAAATACAGGAGACAAGTGTTAATGAGGATGTGGAGAAAAGGGAAGCTTGTGTGCACTGTTGGTGGGAATGTAAATTGGTACAGGGACAGGTTAGTCAAAAACTAAAAACAGAACTACCCTATGATCCAGCAATTCCTCTTGTGGCTGTATATCCAAAGGAAACAAAACTGTTTCAAAGATATCTATCCTGTTCATTACAGCAGTATTGTATTATTCACAATAGTTATGAAGTGGAAACAACCTAAATGGCTATCAACAGACCACTGAATGAAAAAAAATTTGGTATAGGGGCGCCTGGGTGGCTCAGTCAGTTGAGTATCCAACTTCGGCTCAGGTCCTGATCTCAAGGTATGTGGTTTGAGCCCACACTGGGCTGTGCTGATGACTGGGAGTCCCCAGCCTGCTTCAGATTCTGTCTTCCTTGCTCTCTGCTCCTCCCCAGCTCATGCTGTCTGTCAAAAGTAAATAAACACTAAAAAAAATTTTAATATTTAAAAATTGAAAAACATGTTATAAACATGCTAAAAAAGCTTTCAGCCTTAAAGTATTCCTTTTTTGACAACATGATTGAAGCTTGAGGACATTATGCTAAATGAAATAAGCCAATCACAAAAAATAGAGCATGACTTTGAGATATCTAATGTAATCAATCAGACATAGAAACAAAGATGATGGTATTTGCCAGCGATGGGAAAAGGGGAAAATGGTGAGTTGTTCAGTGGGTAGTTGTCATCCAAGATGAAAACATTCCAGAGATCTGTCACACAACATTGCTTTTATAGCTAACAGTACTGTATTGCACTTAAATTTAAGCTTAAATACATGTGTGTTTTTTTTACAAGAAAAAAAAAGTGGCTCCAGAACCAACATTAAGTGGGTGGTCTCTAGCAGAGCCTGCACTATCACAGGTGCTCAGTAAGTGTTCAGTGTGTGATTTATTGCAAATCTAGGGGCTTTCATTTATGGAGCATCACTCTTCAGATCTTTGAGCCTGAGCCTTCTTGAGGAACCAAATCTATACCTGGTCTATCAATCAACTCTATTTAACAGCAGCCTGCAAAATGCTGTCGTTTTTCAAAACAGGTTTAGAAAAGGGTAAAACAAAATATTAGCTCTCATACCTAATAGGCAAAGTGCTCAAATTTATCCTGTCTTAATGGCCACAAATGGGACAAATCTCCATTTCTATAGTTTCTAAGTGTCTTTCAAAAATGAATTTCTAAGACTCAGGTGTACTAAGAAAAAAAGATCCTGTTTTTCAGGAGGTAAATACCCAAGTAAAAGAAACAGTGCAAGATATTGCTACTGTTCTGAACAACCCTAATATCCTACACCTTCTTTAATGGCTCTAAATGGTGCTCAAAGAAACAGATTGGACTTGGACTTGTTCATTTTGGGTTAAGTCATGAAAAGGCCTGACCTTTCACTCCAAAGATTTGATAAATCTAAGAGTTTGGTTTCCCAAAATATCAACTCCACAAAGTATCTAAAGTGACATCATTCTAGCATCAGATGGTATTAGAAATATCACAGTTAAAGGCCTTGATTTCATTAGATGGCTGCTGAATGGAGGCGAAGAGAGTGGGTGGGGAGGCCCTGGCCCCACCCCGCCTATCCAACCTTGTTACACTTACCGATCACAGCGCCGACCCACATGTTCTTCAATCCAAAGCAGAGCGGCGGTTCGCGGGCACCAGGCGCCACAGGCTGCGGGAGACCAGAGGAATTCCTCCAGCCGCCACCTCTGCCGCCCTTAGGTACCCCCTGACCTCTTCGATTTGAATCCTCCGTCGGCCTCCTTTCTGGAGCCCGGGACACTGCCGAGCCTCGTCGGGTCGCAACGACCCACGAGGAGGCGTTGGCGTCTGCTTCTTGCCTCGACATGGTTCCTTGAAGAAGATCCGGCGCGCCCGACGTCGCTCCAGTAGGGATCTGCACCACACCCCCGTGCTGTCGTAGTCTTAAATAAGGTAGCCACGCAGCCGCTACTTAAGGAGCCCGCTCAAGGCTCGCCACGCCCTGGCCACGCACCCATTGGTGGACGAGATGTTGTGGGCGTGGTCCTCACTGTTTGACCAATCCACTTTTTCTATCATATGAGGGCTCCTCGAAAGAGTCAATGCGCAGGCTTTAGGTTCCTTTTCAGGTGTGGGACTTCCAAGGGTTGTCCTTTGTGCTTTGCTCTACGAAACTCCCAGCCCAACTACCCTCAACCTCAGTTGTTCAGAAACGTTTTTTAGCCGTGACTCGTAAACGTCAGCCATTTTTACAACATGACCCAGTACATACATAAAAATTTTGAAACAAAAGGTTAAAAAAACAGCACTTACCATTGTTCTAAGAGCAGCACTTTGATATATTTAATATTCATTTTTAAATCATTGGTTGTTATGCACAAAATTCAATGACCCACAGTTTAAAAACTCTCTGGACTGAAAAATGCTGCTTTAACTCTTCACACACTTGACCTGAATGTTTGCTGTATGCGAGGTAATGAAATTTAATAAATGCCTGAAGCACTCCCGTCATTGTAGTGTGGCTCTGTGGCTGGATGTATTATTTCAGGAAGCAAGTCGGCTAGGCGTGCCCCTACTTTGATTAGGATCTTTGAATTGTCTAAACAAATCTCAGTTCACTCATCTATAAAACAAAGTAGTTCTTTATTATGCTAGGTTCTCTGGTCCATGCTCAGGAATGAAAAAAAGAAAAAAAAAAGTACCAAACGTGATCCATCCAGGTTGAATGGGTTAACTCACATGGAATTAACTGTAACTTTCTTTCTTTCTTTTTCTTTCTTTCTTTCTTTCTTTTTCTTTCTTTTCTCTCTCTCTCTTTCTAAGTAGGCTCCTCAAGTAGGGTCGGATCCCAAGGTGGGGCTTGAACTCATCACCCTGAGATCCAGACCTGAGCTGAGATCAAAAGGCTGAGGCTTAACTCTCTAAACCACCCAGATGCCCCCAACTGTAACTCTTAATGTAATCATGTCTGGAGAAATAGGATTACAGTGCTATTGAAGCACCCAGGAAATATATAAAAGCATAAATGTGTCCTATACTTAATACCCATTCTCTAATCCTTATCTGAAATGGATAGTATTTTTATTGGATTAGATTTCTAATCCATTTTTATTTTTTTTTTTATTTTAACATTTATTTTTGAGACAGGGAGAGATAGCATGAACGGAGGAGGGTCAGAGAGAGATGGAGACACAGAATCTGAAGCAGGCTCCAGGCTCTGAGCGGTCAGCACAGAGTCCTACGCGGGGCTCGAACTCACGGACCGTGAGATCATGACCTGAGCCAAAGTCAGCCGCTTAACCGACTGAGCCACCCAGGCGCCCCAAGATTTCTAATCCAATCCAATCTAGTTGAATCAAATCGAATCCTAATATTGTGTTGAGAATTTTTGCACATAGGTCTATGAGAAAGAGGTCTGTAGTTTTCTTGCAGTGTCCTTGCTTTTGGTATTGGGTCAATGCTGGTCTCATAGAAAGAGAAAGTTTTCCTTTATCTTCTATTTTCTGTAAAAGATTGTAGAAAATTGGTGTAATTTCTTCCTTAAATGTTGTGTAGAATTCACTAGTGAAAACATCTGGACTTGGTGCTTTCTGTTTTGCAGAGTTGTTAAATGTTGGTTTAATTTCTTTAATAGATATAATAGTTTATTTCTTGTGTGAATTTTGGCGATTGTGTCTTTCAAGGAAAAAATCCATTTCAATTAAATCATCAAATTTGTGGACATAGAGTTGTTCATAGTACTCTTTTTTAAGGTCCATGGGAGGGGTGTCTGGGTGGCTCAGGCAGTTGAGCGTCAGACTCTTGATTTTGCTTAGGTCATGATCACAGGGTCATGGGATAGAGGACCGCATTGGAGAGCCTATTTGAGCTTCTCAAAAAAAAAAAGTTTTTTTTAAAATAAAGTCCATGGGATATACAGTGATGTCCCATTTTTTTAATTTCCAATACTAGTAACTTGTGTCTTCTCCTTTTTTCCTTTGTTGGCCTGGCTAGAAGTTTATGATTTTATTGCTCTTTTCAAAGAACCAGCTTTTGTTTTTATCCATTTTCTCTGTTGATTTCCTGTTTTCAATTTCATTGATATCTGCTCTAATTTTTATTATTTCTTTTCTTCCGCTTACTTGTATTTAATTTGCTCTTCCTTTTTTATTTCCTAAGATGGAAACTTAGATGATTGATTTTAGATTTCTAAGTTTATTCATTTCGAGAGAAAGATCACAAGCATGTGAGTGAAACAGCAGGAGCGGGGGAGGGGCAGAAAGAGAAGGAGAGACAGAATCCCAAGCAGAGAATCCATAGTGTCAGCGAGGAACTTGAGGCAGGGCTCCATCTCATGAACAATGAGATCATGACCTGAGCCGAAATCAAGAGTCGAAATCATGTGTCCGACCTTAAGCGACTGAGCCACCCAGTAGCCCCTAGATTTTTCTTCTTTTCTTATATGCATTCAAGTCTATAAATTTCCCTCTAAACACTCTGGGTCTGTGGCTTGTCTTCTCATTCTCTAAACAGTGTCTTTCACAGAGCAGAAGTTTTAAATTTTAAGTATTGTTCTATTTTCTTTGTTGGCTTTTTTTATTTCTATTTTTTTTTTAAAGTAATCTTTATGTGTACAGTGGGCCTTGAACTTACAACCCCCAAATCAAGAGTTGCATGCTCCATGGACTGAGCCAGCCAGGCACTCCCAGTATTGTTCTACTTTCTGAAGGGCTTCCTTCACTTTATCCTGGTGATTCTACCAAATATAAGTAAGAAATTATACCAATTCTCTACAATCTCTTCCAGAAGGTAGAAGCAGAGGAAATACTTCCTAACTCATTGTATGAGGTCAAAATTACCCTAACACCAGTAGTGAACCCTAAAGTAAACTATGGATTTTGAGTGATAGTGACTTGTCTATGTGGGATCATCAGAGCAAGGAATGTACCAGTATGGTGACAGATGTTGACGGTGAGGAAGGCTGTGTGATGGGGGTTGGAGGACAGGAGGTGGGAGGAGTATATAGGAAATCTGTGGACTTACAGCTCAACTTTGCTATGAACCTAAAACTGCTTTATGAAAATAAAGTCTATTTTTGAAAAGAGGAATTTTGTGTCAAGCTTTTCATTTTGATTTTGTTTTTAATTGGATCAGCTAATTTTTGCCCCTTGGCCAGTTGACTAGCAAATAACATTCTAATATTCTATTTTCTTACTTGGTGAGAGGTGCTAAATAAAGACATATCTAAAATGGTAATTACAGGCCCTTTTATGTATTTTAAATTATTCATAAAATAGAGCAAAATGCATCCCCTGTCATTCAAGATCTATGACATTAAGCCTTTAGTGATTTAAAAAAAAAAAAAAAAAAAAGGTGAAATATTTTACTCTAGATCCCAACTAGAACTTAGAATATTCATTAAGCAAGTAGAAAATTGTGACCGTGGGGCTTTCAGGTCCGGTTTACCCTCTACTTCTCCCCACCGCCCCAGACACGAATAAAGATAAAAACGCAGAATTTCAGCGCGATTTTTACCCGAGGGCCCCTCGAGCCTGCGCTTTCTTTTTGCAGACAGAAAGGCTTCCACTCGCTCACACCTTTACCTCCGGGAGGGGTCTGACCGCAAGCTCTGGAGACAGGGGCTGAATCAGCCCCACTCCGCAGCTCTAGCTCCCCTCCACCTACTTAACCTCGTAAGGCGCACCAGGGCCTTTCTCAGCTGGCAGCGGTTGCCGAAGATTCCCGAAGCTCCCGGGTCGGAAGCGGAGAAGGCGCTCGATGGCCCACCCTCTCCTAGGCGCCGCTTCCCCCCGCACTGCGAGTCTCTAGAGGCCCCCGCCCAGGTCCTGGCCCGGCCCCAGCTTCCCCTTGAGTTTGCACAAGGGCGGGGTCACGGTGCGGCGCTCCCGCACTGGCTGTGGGGGTGGGATTAGGGGTCCCTGTATCCTCGGAGGAAAATATCATGGTCTCAACACCATCCCACAAGGGGGCAGCAAACACCTCCCTTGGCTCTGGAAGCAGCTAGATGAGCAATTTCAACTTGAAATTTAGGCACAAACCAGGGTGTGAATTCAGTAGGAACCCTAATTTTGGGAAATAGGCCCTATAGAGTTTAACTTGCCACCTGAATCAGGGAGGGTGACATTATGTAGGACACCTACAATCAGCCAGGCTTGTCTTCTCATTTAATTCTTGGAAAACTCCTGTGAGGGGGGTCGTGGGTGTCCCCATTTCACAGATGAAGACACTGAGGTCAGGGAGCCACTGTGCTTGGGAACCTGGGTGGATGTGATGCCAAAGCCAAGCAATTTCTGTTCCACCAGTTTGCCTCTCAAGGACCCTTGGGCATACTTCCAGGAGGAAGGGTATTTCAGCTTTGAACTGTAATCCCTACCAAGAAAAAACTGTTTCCCTGCCAATGAGTATAGTTAACGTGAGCTGCAAGATGATTATAGAATTAATATGTGTTCACATGATTTTGAAAAATGAAAACGTAACCTAGAGATAAATTTATTCCTCCCATTTTTTTTTTCCAGGCAAAATTCTGGGATCCTCACTGTTGTGTAGTCTTTTGCCCTATTTTATAAAAAAGGCATTTCCCCCATGTTGTTAAACATTTTTTCTTTATTATTTACAGTATGTTCTTCTCTATAATTTGTCTTTTCATTTCACACTGGGAGGGCAAGGTATAGGGGATAAGTTTTAATTCTAATTTGGCAAAAAACTATCATTGTTCTTTTATGGTGACAGCATTTGGAGCCATGATCTAGTTCTCTTTACCCTCAAATTACATAAACATCAATGTATATATTCTAATAGCACTGCCTTTTAAAAGATGCAAAATTTAGGGGGCACCTTGGTGGCTCGGCTCAGTCGGTTAGGCATTGG